TACTTGGGAGGCTGAGGCAGGAGACTCGCTTGAGCCCAGGAGTGGAGGTTGCTGTGAGCTGTGATGCCACGGAACTCTACCCAGGGGGACAGCTTGAGGCTCTGTCTCAAAAAAAATAAACCCTAGCTGGGCATTGTAGCAGGCGCCTATAGTCTTACTACCTGGGGGAGGGGGAAGAGGATTGCTTCAACCCAGGAGCTTTTGTATTTGGGCCACGTAGATTACTAGTGGTTAACTTCTATCCAAAGACCTTACTTGGCCAGGCACAGTGGCTCATGCATGTAATCCCAGCTCTTTGGGAAACTAAAGCAGCAGGATCACTTGAGCCCAGGCGTTGGATCCAACTCTAGACAATAGCAAGGCCCCATCTCTACAAAAAGATTTTGTGGTTTTTTTGAGACAGAGTTTCACTTGGTCACTGTTGGTAGCATGCCATGGTATCTTAGCTCACAGGAACCTCAAACTCTTGGGCTCAAGTGATTCTCTGGCCTTAGCCTCCCAATTAGCTGGGACTACAGGCACCCACCACAACACCCAGTTATTTTTTAGAGACTGGGTCTCAAACTTGCTCAGGCTGGTCTTGAACTCATGAGCTCAAGCCATCCACCCACCTAGGCCTCCCAAGTGCTGGTATTACAGGCATGAGCCACCTTGCCAGGCTTCTAAAAGAAGTTTTAAATTAGCCAGGTGTGATAGTATATTCTCATCATCTCAGCTACTCCAGAGGCTGAGGCAGGAGGATTGCTTGAGCCCAGGCATTTGAGGTTGCAGTGAGCTGTGATGATGCCACTGCCACTGCACTCCAGCCTGGATGGCAGAGTGAGACCCTAACAGAAAAATAAAAATAAAGAAGAGGGTGGCGCCTATGGCTCAGGAGGAGGGCGCCAGCCCCATATGAGAGGTGGCAGGTTCAAACCCAGCCCTGGCCAAAACCTGAAAACAGTAAATGAATAAATAAATAAAATAAAAAAGAGAGAAACAGTTGGCTAGGCACCTGTAGCTCAGCAGCTAGGGCACCAGCCACATACACCGGAGCTGGTGGGTTTGAACCTAGCCCAGGCCCGCCAAACAACAACAACTATAACCAAAAAATAGCCAGGTGTTGTGGCAGGCACCTGTAGTCTCAGCTACTTGGGAGGCTGTGGCAAAAGAATCGCTTAAGCCCCAGAGTTGGAGGTTGCTGTAACCTGTGATGCCACCGCACTCTACCATGAAGCTCTGTTTGAAAAATAAAGAGAGAGAGAGAAATAGTTGAAATAAAGAGGATACCTTTTGACTAAACTGGGGACATTAAAAGGGACTGCTTCTGAGTATGGTAATCTCATAATTGATAGGAAAGGTGGAGAGCTGCTCAGTTTCTAAAACCTTAATTTAACAGAGTGATAGATAATTTTGAGGTAATTTTATGAGGTAATTCAATAGTAAAATACATTTCATTAAGAATATCTGGCTTGGCGCCTATAGCTCAACCGGCTAAGGCGCCAGCCACGTACACCTAA